TTTCTGTAGACTCACATGCTGAAAATAACCAATCCTGGTTTGCCACCTCAAGGAGTACAAATGAGGGAGTACAATTTAGGAGTCTATGTAGTAGAACTCATGTATATATAGTTCATGTCTTACTATTAGTAAAATAAAACTATTAAATGTTAATAAGAATTGATTTAGATGAGTTGGTTGAGTACATATTGAGTTATTTTAAGAGATAGGAGTTCAAATCTTCTCCCGTTAGAGTGTAAAATTTTTGAATTTGTCCTACCTCAACCAAATTTCTGACTCCATCTCTGACTGCGTTCATCTTCAAATAACAACTTTAGTAAAAGGGAAAGATTCCCATGCACTTGTTCATCTTCAAATAACAACTTTAGTAAAGGGGAAAGATTCCCAGGCACTTGTTCATCTTCAAATAACACCTTTAGTAAAAGGGAAAGATTCCCATTCACTTATTAATTGCACCGGCCCACGCGTCATTCATCAGCTTTGAAATTCGAAAAATATTGAAGACAAAAAAAACCAAAAGGAATTATTGACAGACCACCAAGTTCTCCACCTTTGAGCCCACCCACAAGTGGCTAACAAAGGTCAAATTTAGAATCCCAAAAAAAAAAAAAAAAAACCAATTTCTAATTATAAATAGTTGTACTTGATTTCTAACGTTTAAAAAGGGTATTGCTATTTGCACCACCCTTTGATCAAAATTAGGTATAAAGTACGTTGAAAGTATAAAAAGTTAAAAATTTATAATAAATACATAGGTGGTGCAAATAGCCTAATGAATGGTCAAAATGCTATTTACACCACCTTAATTAAATCACATTTATTAGATTTAAATAATAATTAAGTAATTTAAAATTTAATTCATTAAAATTATTTTAAACAAAAAAAAAAAAAAATCCCGCCTTCTCCGGTGAGCTGCCTTCTCCGGTGAGAAGGCAGCCTATCCAGTGGGTTGCCTTCTCACTGGAGATTTTTTTTTATTTTTTTTTTTTAATTAGTAATTTGATGAAAGTAAGCTCCTTTTCTTGTGGCTATCTTTGCAGTGCCGGAGAGACTTCAACTGGTTTTTTCACTGATCGGAATCAATGGCGCCGGATAGTGGAATAAGTTCTGATGAAGCAAAAAGGCTTTTCTTGAATTCTGTCGTCCAAGAAGTGTTCATTTGCCGATAAACAGTGTTCTTTAGCAATGTCATTGCCGATGCAGAAATCAAAGCCAGAATCAGAATCTGAGCAGCAAATGCAATGAGAAACCCAGGTTGTTGGACGTTTTGAGAAGCCCACCATTTCTGAGATCAAATCAAAATCTGAACTACAGGAGTAGTAATCAAGGGAAGAAACCGAGTAAATATAATGTTGCAAACATGGAATTTTCAAAAACAAAATCGATGTCAGAACCGAAACCAAGCAACAAAGAATCAAACTGGTAATCTTCAAGGGATCCCAGATAGTATAATCTGATTTAATTATTCCATCAATCATTTCTGATTTTCTGCATTGCTAGGCTTCTTCCTCATCGGCTCTTTACTGGATCTAACAAATTAATTAACCATCAAAACCGACCACCAAAAGTCTAGAGGAATTACTAATTTGATTATTAAATAAAAATTAAATAATAATATTAATGATGGACTATATTTAATGAGGTGGTGCAAATAGCACTTTTGTGTTTGCATCACCTATAAAGCTACTGCACCTATTAAATAGGTGGTGCAAATAGAATTTTCCTTTAGAAATGAATTATAATACATTTTATACTTCTTTCCATTTTTAGTTCAAAGAATTTTTTGTAGTATTTTTTTATTAGATAAATAATATACAGAGTACAACAAAGAGAGCACATATAAAGCTATATAAAGCAAAGATCGATATTGTAAATGCATGACTAAAGCAAAGAGAGCACATATGAAACTTTGCAGTACTATAAAATTTTATATAAATCAAAAAATTGTAAATGCAATAATTTAGGGCAAAATAAAAATTGGATTTAGGGATAAATAGAATTAGGAATTTAGAAATCTATGAAATCAAGAATTTGGTGATTAGGGTTTAACATTTAGAGTAATAGAACTAACCAGCTTGGAAAGATGAATGAAGCAGCGAAAATCGTTGCAACAGTTGGCGACTGCACAGTCGGCCAGTCGGGGACGACCACCCACGCGGCGACATGGAAGCAACAAAAAGGAGAGGAAGCAGTTGGCGAGGAAGTGATGACCACAAGAGGAAGCACGCAGCGATGACCGAAGCAATGATAGACCTGGCGTCGACGTTTATGTCGAAGACAATGGGCAAAAGTTGTTAGTGGTTGTGGCAAAGGAAGTGACGATTAAAGACGGTGGTAAGGGACGATGGAGAAGGTGGAGGAGATTTTGATGGAGAGGGTTGCTCTATCTGCCGTTCTGTGAAAAAGTGGAGGAGATAACCGTCAAAATTTATGTATTTCCCGCTCCTCAAGTTGTTCAATGGTGCTGAAATACTTTAAGTATCAATCCAACATTTTATTGGATGAAAATTAAAATACCTAATATTTTTACTTTTTACTTATTAGTCAATTCAGGTTTACGGACCAACATTATAGGTTTGACGGAATTTCCATCCAACAATGGATGTTGGACGAAAATTCTGACCAACTTCTCATCCAATCATCTTTAGAGATGGAAAGTTGAGATTTTTAATAAATTACCGGCCAACATTATAATTGGACGAAAATGTTAGTCGAAATGGCGAGAATTCCAGCAATGAAACTTGTCTAACTTAATATATGTATGTGTTAAAATAAATAATCTTCTTGTTCAAAATTTTCTCATTTGTACAAAGATATATATATCTAAAAATTAAATATGATATGTATAGTATCGTCTCATCATGAGATATATATAACGTTTTTTAAAGTGTCAAATCGGCCCTCTAAGTTAAGTGGATATTGCAATTGCGTCCCCTAAGTGAAAAAGCTCCATTCAAGCCTCCTAAATCGGTAAAATTGTTCAATTAAGTCCAATACGACTTGTTTATTAGGTTAAATCGATATGGTGTTAACACGTGTCCTTCTTATTTTATTTTTTAAAACAAATGTTTTCTATTTATTAAAAATTTAAAATATTATTTATTATAAATTAATTAATTAAAATAATAATAATAATTAAAAAAAAAAAAAAAAAAAAAACAGCCACCGGCTGTCTGCACTGGACAGCTAGTGGCTATCTTCCTTCTTCACGGTCGTCTAAGGAAGGCGGTCATGGACATCTAGTCGTCTTCCTTAGACGGCTGTGGCCGGACGGCCACGGTTGTCCGTGAAGAAAGAAGACAACCACCCACTGTCTGGCGCGGACAGCCGGTGGTTGTTTTTTTGTTTTTTGTTTTTTTTTTTAAAATAATTTTTAAAGTATTATTATTATTTTAATTAATTAATAAAAAATAATATTTTTAATAAATAAAAAGTATTTATTTTAAAAAATAAAATAAGAAAGACACGTGTCAACATCATATCGATTTAACCTGTTAAACAAGTCATATTGGACTTAATTGAACAATTTTACAGGTTTAGAGGACTTGAATGGAGCTTTTTTCACTTAGGGGACCCAATTGCACTATCCACTTGACTTAGGGGGCCAATTTGACACTTTTCCCATTCAACTTTAATACTTTTTGTGAGTGTAATGTATTACATTTTAACTAAAATGTATTATACATTTTATGTGAGGTAGTTTTATATAAGACTTATAAAAAATTATTTATGTTATACGCTTATTCTGTATTTCTTGTTCTATTAATAAAAAAAAAAACATTTAGAGATGATTTTTTATTTGAATGGACATAATTCCGTTCTTATATTAAATATTTGTTTAATGAATAAAGCGCGTATAACGACTAGCACGACAAGTCTTGGTCTTCTTCCGCACTATAATATATTATTTGAAATAATTTTGAAATTTATACGTAGTACTACTCTTTCTATTCCGCACTTACAATATTACATCGATTTTCATTACATACTTTGTTTTTTACTCTCTATGTGGTGTTCAATAAAGGGACCACTATTTCTATAACTTTTTTATATATTTGTTTGAATACTACTGATTCTATTACAATGTAATAAGAGAACCAATAACGCCTCCACTGAGACTCAAACTCATAATCTTCCAAATGAAAGTCTAACTCGGGTACCATTAGACCACATAGTCCTAATCTATTCATTTACTTTTGTTTTTGAAAGGTATTCATCATTTACTTTTGTGTATTCAATAATATATGTACATATACTAAGAGTTATATTCACTTGGAGTACATTTTACATTTTCCTTTCTTATATATCTTTTAAAGCCTTTTCATTATTGGATTACCTAATTGTTTCATATATGATTGAGAATTTAACTCAATCTAAAGATTTATGACGTTAGATTGTAATATATTTGAAATGATTTATAATTTTATAATTAGTATTATAGTATTTTTAATTTCCATCTTATATATATCTCATTTAATTAAATTTATTTTTTATTGGATTTTTAATTTCCATCTTAAGACTACCAATAGGCAATTAGTCAACACAACAACCATGTTAGGTGTAAATTTTAATGCTCAGTTGGTTATAGCACAAAGTATTAGAACAACCTCATTTTTTTTTGGTAGGAATTAGAAAAACCTCATTAGTATGCATTTACTTGATTTTTTTCGAATCAATGTAGGAGAGAGATGGATCGGAAAGAGAAAAGAAGAAAAAGGATAACAAATAAAAAAGATGTTACCAGGACTATGTGGTCTAATGGTACTTGACTTCCATTTTCATTTAGAAGATTATGAGTTCAAGACTCAGTGGAGACGTTATTGATTCTTTGTGTTTCAGTAGACAGATACTACAATGTAATAGAGAAAAAAAAAAAAAAAAAAGATGTTTCCTTGAAATTTCATGACTCCTTCCATTCAATTTCCTTCTCCTCTTCTTCCATTGAATTTCTCTCCTGACTTTGGTGACTCTCTCTCTCTGTTCTCTATCTGCATCTAGGCTACTCTCCTGACTTTGGTGACTCTCTCTCTCTCTGTTCTCTATCTGCATCTAGGCTACTGCTAACTGAATTCTAGTTTCAAAACACAAACCATAGTTGCTGTGCTGCAGGTATGCATATATTCTCTTGACTAAATAGATGAATTTTTTTATATTTCCTCTGCAGCAAATGTTTGTTCGATCTGAAGCATTAACTTTCGAAAAATTCTTGATTTTCATTCAATAAAAAATTTATATATATACCTGCTCAAAAAACATTGGAATTTGCTGACTGTGACTCACACCTATTTAGTATAAATAATTTCAAATTTAAAATATATATGCTAAATTTTAAAACTTTTTATTCTTAATTATACATAAGTTAACGAGTAAAAGACATTTTTAGTCCTAAATTTATAGTGGCTTGGACAATTTTAGTCCTTTATAAAAAAAATTTGCCATTTTATGGACGGAGTTATTGTGGCGAGGACATTTTTGGTCCTCCGTCTATATTTCTGTTAGATAACCATCTGAGAGAGGGGTAATTACGTCAATTTAGGCTATCCCCTTCTATCTATTATATCTATGTGTGTTTTGTTTTCTTCTCGGTCATAATTCGAAGGAGTTGGAGAGTCCAAGTTGCAGTTGTACGAAGAAATTGCCGGAGAATCGAAGCCGCCAAACAGGTTACTAATCAAATAGATAGAAGGAAAATCGAAGCCGCCAAACACACATTGATATAATATATAGAAGGAGATAGCCTAAATTGACGTAATTGCCCCTCTCTCATACGGTTATCTAACAGAAATATAGACGGAGGACCAAAAATGTCCTCGAAATATAGACGGAGGACCAAATATGTCCTCGCCACAATAACTCTGTCCATAAAATGGCAAATTTTTTTTTATAAAGGACTAAAATTGTCCAAGCCACTATAAGTCTAGGACCAAAAATGTCTTTTACTCTAAATTAACAAAAAAAAAGAGTTAATATGCTCTCTCTAGCTCTTTCTTCTAAGGGTCCGTTTGGAAAGTAGGAAAATGACTTTTGGAAAATGAGTCATTTTCCGAAAAATATTTTTCTTCCCAGTGTTTGGTTGCATTCTGGAAAAATATTTTTGTGTGTTTGGTTCATTTTCTGTAAAATGAGTAGAATTGTATAATTAAATATTTTAATTATTTTATTTAGAGTATTACAACATGTATAATAATATAATAATAAAATAAAAAATAACTAATAATATATCAAAAATATTATGGTGGTATGGTATAGTGGTGGTAATGTGGTGGTGGTGGTGGTGGTGGTGTAGTGGTAGTGGTGTTATTTGTTATATAATAATAATAATAATAATAATAATAATAATAATAATAACTGGTGGTGGTGGTGGCGGCGGCGACGGTGGTTGCTGTGGTATTGTGGTGGTGGTAGCGGGGGCGATGGTTGTGGTGGTATGGTCGTGGGGGTGGCGGCGGTGGTGGTAGTTGTGGTGGTGTGATGGCGGTGGTATGGTGGTTGCGGTGGTATGGTGGTGGTGGTGGCGACGGTGGTTGCGGTGGTAGCGGCGACGGTGGTAGTGGTGGTTGCGGTGGTATGGTGTTGATGGTGGTGGTGGTGGTGTTGATGATGTTGGTGGTGGTGGTGTGGTGGCGATGGTTGTGGTGGTATAGTGGTGGTGGCGGCGGCAGTAGTGGTGGTGATGGTAATAGTGAGGTGGTGGTGGTATGGTGTTGATGATGGTGGTGGTATGGTGTTGATGATGTTGGTGGTGGTGTGATGTTGGTGTAAAAGTTGGAAAATGACTTCCCCAAAACAAGTCTATTTTTCAAAGTCAACGGAAAATGATTTTCGTTGACTTAATTTTCCAGACACATCCAAACAATGGAAACTTGAAAAATGATTTCCAGAACTCATTTTCCAGGTTTCCAAACACACCCTAAATTTATTTGGTAAAATTATTTTTATTGAGTTTTAATTAATTCTTGCACAATCTATATCTTCTTCTTCTAAATTTATTTGTTAAAATCATTTTTATTGAGTTTTAATTAATTCTTACATAATTTATATTTATTTTTCAGATTACTTTTAACTATTCGATCTGGACTCATAAAGGTATGCATAATTGTTATATTCTTCTTAATTATATTTGCTTAGGTGTTTGTAGACATCAGTAAAACTCCTACGCCTATTGAAAATGAATACATCCAGCCCAGTTGCCTTTTTAGGTTTTCTGTACCAAAAAGGTCAATCAGCATCATACTCTATTTTTAAACTTTATTTTACAAAATATTTAAAACTACGTTATTTGAGTATTGAAGATACACCATTTTGTATATTATTAAATAATGTATATTTAGTACATCTTTATTATATTAAATTTTTTTTTTTTTAAATTTATGGATCACAACAAAATTTCTTGACGTAGACAAGTCTCGGTCATCCAACTAGATATGTGGCATAGGATTCGATCTTATAGTAATTTCTTTAGTACAGTAATTGACTTGGAAACATTCTTGACCCACTGGTAGAGTGGTAGGTACCATCCATACACATAATTTGTTTGTCAAAAGAAAAAATGCCATTATTATTTCTCATTGTGCACATATAAGACAATAGAAATTGTACAGTACCTACAGAAACAGCAAATAAGTACTCTAGCTTGGGGGTTTCTTTGAAGTTTCTTTGTTCCTTTCAATGAATTTCTCAGGTCACTTTTTTTTTTTTTTTTTTTTTTTTTTTTTTTTTTTTTTTTTTTTTTTTTTTTTGAAGAGCCCTGGTGACTTTGTTGTTAATTAATTTATTTTAAGCTAAGAAAATTTTAAGTATATCTCTCTCTCTGTGTGTTAGGTTTTTGGTCTCTTCATTGCTGTTAAGCTACCGTTAAGTTAAATCCTTTCAGTTTCTAAAGGCAAATTATGGCTGTTGCGCTGCGGGCCGGTATAGATCTATTCTGGACTCTTAAAGGTATGTAGACAATCATGTTGCATCATACTTATTAATTTATTTTATTTTAGAAGGCCAGTGAGTATTTGTATATTTGTATGCATTTTATTTTGAATATGAATTGAACATTTTAGTTATTTAAATGATATTCTTTTTCAATTCCATGATCTAACCAAACATAAAAATATGATTCCTTATATAATCTCATGTTTATTACCATTTCCGTTTTTCTTGGATTTATAATCTATTTCTTTTTATTTTTATTCTTTTGAACCAAACATCACATTATATTTTTCAAAGTCAACGGAAAATGATTTTCGTTGACTTGATTTTCCAGACACATCCAAACAATGGAAACTTGAAAAATGATTTCCAGAACTCATTTTCCAGGTTTCCAAACACACCCTAAATTTATTTGGTAAAATTATTTTTATTGAGTTTTAATTAATTCTTACATAATTTATATTTATTTTTCAGATTACTTTTAACTATTCGATCTGGACTCATAAAGGTATGCATAATTGTTATATTCTTCTTAATTATATTTGCTTAGGTGTACTTTCAAAAAAAAATATTTGCTTAGGTGTTTGTAGACATCAGTAAAACTCCTACGCCTATTGAAAATGAATACATCCAGCCCAGTTGCATTTTTAGGTTTTCTATACCAAAAAGGTCAATCAGCATCATACTCTATTTTTAAACTTTATTTTACAAAATGTTTAAAACTACGTTATTTAAGTATTGAAAGTACACTATTTTGTATATTATCAAATAATGTATATTCAGTACATCTTTATTATATTAAAAATATTTTTTTTTATTTATGGATCACAACAAAATTTCTTGACGTAGACAAGTCTTGGTCATCCAACTAGATATGTGGCATTGGATTCGATCTTATCCTAATTTCTTTAGTACAATAATTCACTGGTAGGTACCATCCATACACATAATTTGTCAAAAGAAACAATGCCATTATTATTTCTCATTGTGCACATATAAGACAATAGAAATTGTACAGTACCTACAGAAACAGCAAATAACTCTAGCTTGGGGGTTTCTTTGAAGTTTCTTTGTTCCTTCCAATGAATTTCTCAGGTGACCATTTTTTTTTTTTGAAGAGCTCTGGTGACTTTGTTGTTAATTAATTTATTTCAAGCTAAGAAAATTTTAAGTATATCCCTCTCTGTGTGTTAGGTTTTTGGCTTCTTCATTGCTGTTAAGCTACCGTTAAGTTAAATCCTTCCAGTTTCTAAAGGCAAATTATGGCTGTTGCACTGCGGGCCGGTATAGATCTATTCTGGTCTCTTAAAGGTATGTAGATGATCATGTTGCATCATAATTATTATTTTATTTTATTTTAGAAGGCCAGTGAGTATTTGTATATTTGTATGCATTTTATTTTGAATATGAATTGAACATTTTAGTTATTTAAATGATATTCTTTTTCTATTCCATGATCTAACCAAACACAAAAATATGATTCCTTATATAATCTCATGTTTATTACCCTTTTATTCCTATTTTATTCCTTTGTTATTCCATTCTTGTTGGAATTACATTCTATTCCTTTTCATTTTATTCTTTTGAACCAAACGTCACGTTATGAGTTAATACCTCCGATGGTCCTCCGAGTATTAGCGATTTACCAGCTGTGGTCATCCGACTTTTTGTGTTTTAATATTTCTCAGTTTCCTACTAATTTAACATATATATTTCAGGCTTCTAGCTGTTAAATTTCCAGTTTTCAATTAGGCATGCAAAATAGTGGTCTGTTATCCAATTTAACTCTTCAGTGCTTTCTTGTTTGTTCAAATTACTCATTTTGTTGGCCATTGCTTTTTCTTGGTAGACGCAATGGAGCAGATACTCTCATTACGTAGTAAATTTGAAGGATATATGGATTTTGATGAAAATCTGGAAACTCTAAAAGCTGAAGTAGATCAACTTCATATGGAGGCGAATGACATGGAAGCAAAGTTGAAGAACTTAGAAAGAGGAGGGCAAAGGAAGAGGAAACAAGGAGTCGAGGGTTGGCTTCAGCAAGTAAATAAGTTGGAAACAAACTTTGAAACATTCAAGGAAAGCATACAAGGTGCGGGATTCATAATGAAGAATGCTCGGAAGTTAATAAAAGCACAAGAACTCGAAGGGATGACAGAAAGAGTTAAAAAGCTTAGAGAAGAGGGCAGAAGTAATACTGTTGAACCTACACTGGATGTGAGTACATCATATGAACTCAATGTTGATCAGTTATTTGGGACAGCATCTAAAATTAATTTAGTAGAAATATATAGATGGGTAGAGGATGCAAATGTGACTAGTATCGGGGTGTATGGAATGGGAGGTGTTGGAAAGACAACTTTGGCACAACATCTATATAACAAAATCTGCAAAGAAAACCCTCGTGCTAATGTTTACTGGGTTACAGTTTCTCAAGATTTTAACATCAGAAAATTACAAGATAACATTGCGAGAAGTGCTGGTATTGGATTTTCGGATGTGGACAATGAAGTGCAAAGAGCTGCTATTTTATGCAGTCATCTAGGGAGGAATAATGTTGTACTCATATTGGATGATGTGTGGGACAAAATTGACTTGGTGAAATTGGGTGTCCCTCATAAGGATAAGGGTTGCAAGCTCATTTTAACAACTCGATTACAAGATGTGTGCCATTGGATTGGATGCGACAAGCTGTTCAAAGTTGATGTTTTTAATGAGGAGGGAGCTTGGAATTTGTTCAAGGAGGTTTTAGTACAAGATAAGGATATTGTGCTCACTGATGCTATTGAAAAACATGCCAAAGAATTGGCCAAAAAGTGTGGCGGCTTACCATTGGCACTCAAAACTTTAGCTGCAAGCATGCGAGGGGTGAATGATAACCACAGTTGGAGGAATGCCATTAAGAATTTCCGAAATGGTTGTCCTCAAATGGGAGATCAGCTGGAAAAAGGTGTGTTTGATATACTCCAATTTAGCTACAACAAATTGGATCGTGAAAAGTGGAAAAAGTGTTTCCTTTATTGTTGTTTGTATCCTGAAGATGATAAGATTCCGAAGGATGAAATAATAATAAAGTTGATTGCAGAAGGATTATGTGAAGATAGAGATGAAGGTCATTCCATATTGAATCATCTAGAAAAGGTTTTCTTATTGGAAGGGGGGGAATGGTATAACGGAATAGGGTATGTTAAGATGCATGATTTAATGAGAGAAATGGCTTTAACGATCTCAAAGTTCATGGTTAAATCTGAGCTCACTGAAATTCCGGAGGAGAAACATTGGATCGCTGAATTGGAGAGAGTTTCTTTTATGAGAAGTGAAATAAAAGAAATTCCAGATGACTTTTCCCCCAGATGCCCTAGCCTTTCAACCTTGATTTTGCAAGGGCCTTATTACATGGGTTTCTGGCAGTTTCAAAGAATCCCAGAATCTTTCTTGTTGTACATGAGGACACAGCTTCGTGTCCTAGATTTAAGTTATATCAGTGGGCTGGAGTGTCTTCCCAATTCTATCTCAGATTTGGAGAATCTTTATGGATTATATCTTGTAGGTTGTGAAAGGATTAGTTGTTTGCCAGGAATGAAGAAGCTGAAGAAATTGATGGTGTTAAATATTGATGGTTGTTATGGAATTAGGGAATTGCCTCAAGACATGGGATGTTTAGTGAATCTCCAATATCTATATATGAGGCACACAAGCAAATACTTGGAGATTCCGAAAGGGGTAATAGCCAAACTAAGAAATCTTAGATGCTTCCATTTGCACTCTTGTCCGAACTTGCAGAGTGAGGAAGTTAATTGCTTGACACGTCTTCAAGAATTTGCAAACAGCTATGATGATTTGCACAGCTTCAACAACACTACATTGGTTAAAAAACTTGAGCAACTGAAATACTACCGGATATCCGTAGGCTGCCATTATACAGAGCTAGAAAGTGAAGAGAGGAGTGTGTGTTTCCGTGCAATCAATTTTGAAGGGAAAAGAGGTCAAGAAGTTAAAGTATTGCTTCCTGCAAACATTTGTTGTTTACGAATTGAGGACTGTGACGGGTTGGATGGGTGCATATTAGACAATTTCCAATCATTGAGCAATAATCTGAGCAAACTAAGTGTATATAATTCCATCGAAGCAGAGTGGATTTGGGATAGCGAACAAATAATAGAAAATGCAGCCACCCCATTTAAGTGTCTTGAGAAGTTGCATCTCAAAAACCTGCAAAGATTAGTAAGTTTGTTTAAGGGAGAAGATGTAATTATTCTTCCAGATTGCACCTTCTCATCCCTTAAACATCTGTATGTCAGTGGATGTAACAGTATGACGAAGTTGTTGTCACAGGCGTTATTGCAAAATTTCCAAAATCTTGAGATACTTGAAGTACAATTCTGTGAGAACCTAGAAGTGGTAATAGGAGTTGGGGATGAAGAAGGCAGCAGTAATACCCGACAGTCATCATCCTCAAATATATCATGTCTACCCAAGCTTAAACACTTACAACTAGAGATGCTGCCAAAATTGAAAAGCATATGCAATGGTAGAGAAATGGTTTGCCCTTCCATTGAAGTAATAAGAATTTTCCGTTGTCAAAATATTAAGAGGATGCCTTCATTTCTTCCTATTGATGAGGCTCAACAACCATACCTTCCTTCATCCTTTCAAAATATCAGCTTACTTAAAGATGAGAAAGAATGGTGGGAATCATTGGAGTGGCACAATCCAAATGAAAAAGACATCCTGGAATCTCACATCGAATGGTAATTTCTTATTTATCTTTGCTCTATAAAACAATATATATTTCACTAAATATTTAATTTAGTGCATTTCTTATCAATTTCTTGCAAATGAGTATGCATCTATAAAACCAAATGAATATGTATAAAAGTATTATACTAAATATTAAATTTATCAATCGACAAAAATAGAGCCACATAATTTGTTTTTAAAAAAGCAGAGTAGCTAATCATTCAATCCTGCAACTATATATAACTTGTCATCAATTTTTTCATTTATACTAAATTAGATGTTAAAAGTAAATAAATGATTATTGGGTCAAGAGAAGATCAAAACTAAAAGATGACAATGATTATTGTTATGATTTAAATAGTTTTATTTATGGGATTTTGTTTTACAACTTCTCATTTTTTAAGTAAATAAATATGTATACAATAAAAACCACATTTAATAAAATGTAGAAAATTAAATTTTATTATATTACATCTTTTTTTGAGAAATTATATTACATCTTTTCTTAATTAAGTTAGCAAATACTCGGTTCTTCCAATTTAATTATTTGTCTTACTTTTCTTTTTATTCTATTTAAAATAATGTATATTTTTAAAATTTAAACACTTCTAACCTTTTACTTTTTTTAAAATTTATCCTTTGTTCCTTTTAACTTTTAAGGTGGTTCTAACTCACTACTTTTTAAAAAGGTAAATTTCAAAATAATATTAGTGACTTATTTATTATTTAGAAAATGATATTCACTTGGTTCTTTATATATAGAGAGCACCATTTGAACTCAATTTTCTCTGTAAAATAATAATATACTGAATAACATAATCATAAAATGAAAGATAAAATATAGTTTACTTAAAATGATAAACATGTCAATTTTTAATTTCTTTATATGGATTTTTTGAGTTAATCTTCCGAGCATTTCTTGTATATTCACAAATGAGTTAATCTTTTGAGCATTATTTGGCTCATATTTGCCTCAGAACCCTAGATGGTGTATTGGTGTCTACTGAGTAGTATGAGTGTCGTAACTGAATGTGTTATATCATCAATTATCCTGTATCCCATCAATTCAGGATTATATTAGGCATAGAGTTTTATGGACTAACAACTTCTAGTTATTCAGTCCAACCAGATCACTTAATAAGCATAGTCAACTTGTACCACTTAATTAAGGACCTAATATATAATATATAATATATATTATTGGGGAAAATCTTACACATTGTTGATTGTTGAATGAAATTAATGCAGGAGGCAATGGTGATTAGGGATGATTATTGTACCCGAAAGTTGTTACTGTTCAATTTGGAGTAGATACTTTGGAGGTAGTCTCTCATGTTGTTTGTTAATGTTACTCTATATTTGTTTTTCATTGAGTTTTCTAGCCATCACAATTTTTATCTACTTTGAGTTTCAATAATTCAAAAGACCAAACTCTTCTAATACTTATTTCTGCGTACCTTTTATTAGTGAACTATTTTATTGTGTATTGGTATCAATATAGTACTCATTGCTTCAAGAAAAAAAAATGAATAAAATATGTTTCAAATCTTTTATAGAATGTTGATTTCTTACTTCTACCTCTTAAATTTCTAAAGAATTATTCATTGCATTTTTGCTCAATCTATTAAATCCTGTACAATTATTTTCCTACGAACTATATTCTATTTTTGGTTTTTTTTTTTCTTAAAAATGCTCTTAAGAATTGTTTTTACCATAAATTATTGATATATATATATATATATATATATATATATATATATATATATATATATATATATATATATATATATATATATATATATATATATATATATATATATATAGAAAAACGCTCATATGTGGTCATGTCATTAGGTGTGGTCGTGTGGTCGTATCTGTGTCGTTGAATCAGTTTAATCTAAAGGCTGTGGTAATTCTGAGGATTTTCGCGCGTTTTAGTAAGTGGGGGTGTTATGGTAATTACAGTGACCATTTATAGCGGGCGGGTTCTAGAATACACCAACAGTGTTGACAACATGCACCAATAGTGTAATAAAACACACCACAGTGAAACACACCAATGGTGTATTCCCGTGTTATGGTAATTACAGTGGCCATTTATAGCCGTCGAGTTCCAGAATACACCAACAGTGTTGACAACATGCACCAATAGTGTAATAAAACACACAACAATGTGATTTTCCTTATTCCGGTGTTTTATGACAAGTTTACCCTTACAGTTTGCTGGGTAGAAGAATGTGCGCGAAAATACTGAAAAAATCTTGATTAATATGATCCATTAGATCTATCTAATCTAATGGTCTATAATTGACCATATGACCACACCTAACAACATGGCCACATGTGATCACTCCTCTCTCTCTATATATATATATATATATATATATATATATATATATATATATATATATATATATATATAGATTTTGAATCCGGTGCACACCCCCTAGTCAGCCGAGCCTGTGAGCACGCTCTCTGATCGTTGATTTTGATTTTTTAACGCTTTAGATGGTGTTGTAATTAGACCCATTCTGATATATTATTGGGGGTAAGGCTGTAATTTTTGATATGTATTTATTTTCTTTCCGTTTAAAATGAGAAAATTTCAATTTTGGTCCACAGACTATTGGGGTTGTGTTAATTGTAACACTTGACTTTCAAAAATGTTAATTGAGTACCTTGACTATGCAATTTCTTTCAATTTTGGTCACTCCGACCAAATTACCGGCGAAAAGTGGCCGGAAAAATTTTAATGGTAAATCATGGGGGTATTTTGGTCTTTTACTTCTTCACTATTCTTCTTCTCCGTTGGGTTTCTTCCAGGCGCAGAAGTGCAGAACCCATGAAGGCCATTGATGGGTTTGTAACTTTGTTTGCATCCAGAGCACTTAGACCATTGATCGGAGTCGCCTCCATCCGCCGTCTCCATTTATCCGTCACCTTCATTTTCGTTTGCTGAGATACCAAGACAAAGCAGCTCCAGAGCATTCAACATATGAATTTCCACGTGGTGTCGCATGCTTACTGGACCTTCCATGTGTCCAGTGTTTTGAAATGGTGATTTTGATTTACCACATTATAGATACAAGAATTCCCACTAACCCCACTGTTAAGTATTCCATATGCAGCCACGTGCTTTCCAAATGTTTCTCCCAAAATTGTGCTTTCATCAGGCTTGCGACTGATTTTGAGCCGGAAAACTTGCCGGAAATGGAGTTGCTCGCTGGAGAAGAAAGGGAAAAAGTAAAATGACCAAAAAAGCCCTCATTATTTGATCTATTAAAAATTTCCGGCCACTTTTCGTCGGTAATTTGGCCGGAGTGACCAAAATTGAAAAAAATTGCATAGTCAAGGTACTCAATTAACATTTTTGAAAGTCAAGTGTTGCAATTAACACAACCCCAATAGTCAGTGGACCAAAATTGAAATTTTCTCGTTTAAAATTGATTCGGCACTTATTGTGTTTCCTTATGCGTGTGGTTTATTTGGAGTCACCCACTCAAATCTCCTCGGAAGAATAGCGACAGAGAAGAATTCTGGAATCAATCTCCATTCCATCATCTCGTCGCCGCAGCTCTTGTTTCTCCATGGCCGACTCTTCGTCCAGGCGGTCGAAGCATCTGAAGGGTTCTTCGTCCGGCGCTGCTCAAGGTATTTTCTTCTCCTTTGCCTATTTCTTCTTAGTTTTATGTGTGTTTTTGTTTTTAGGTTGGTGTGGCCAGAGGGAGTGTGTTTGTGGTTCGATTCAGTGTGGCGGGGGATAGTCGATTTTTTGGGGCATGTGACACCTGCTTTGGCTGGCGTGGCGGCTTCTTGTGGCGATGGGTTGGGCTACCGGGTGGGGGTTTGTGGGGGTGTCACGGTGGTGGACTATTGGTGTGGTGGTGGTTTGTACCCTGTTATTTTTTTCCCCTAATTAAGGAGTTTGTTTTTCGACTGTGGCGGGGGGTGGTGGTAGCAGATGACGACTGTAGTTGGGGGTTTTGGGTTGTGGGGGGCGGGCGGGTGTTTTAGAGTGCTGTGGGGCGGGGTGGTCTTTGTTTTCTTGTTGAAATTGCATATACTTCTTCACGTAATCATATAATTAATCAATATTTTTGCATTATGTGTGAATGTCTGTGATGGGATCAAGATGTTTTCGGGCATTCTTCCTTCTAATGATCAAGTGTACCAGTAGCTGCTTAAATGCTATGCTTTCACTCAATTAGAACTAGTATTAGCATGAAAAGAAAATCTAAAAACTGAATAAATAAAGTCTTCCAATCCTTCTTGTCTTAGTCAAAATGATGTTAAACAAACTCCATTATTCACCTCTATAATTTGCTATGTTAGAGAGAGTCAAGGGAATTGTTGAGGAATTAGCTCATATATTCAATTCAAAATACATGGCTGATGAGTCTCAGCAGTGTATATAAATCTGTCCTCTTGTACAACTTTATTCATTGAAATACACAAATCGACGAATGTGAGAAGCTTATCCAAGATTCTTCTGGACATGAGAAGGACGTGAAGAAATGTGTTTTGCAACTTCACAATGTACCAGGTGGAGCAAAAGTGTTTCTGTTTGTGGCCAAGTTCTGTTATAATATCAAGACTAAACTCACAACAATGAATGTGGTCTCCCTTAAATGTGCAGCTGAGTATCTTCAAATGAGTGAAGATTTTGGAGAAGGAAACCTCGTTGCACAAGACAGGGAACTTCCTAAACGAAGTTCTCAGTTTCTAGGTGGACACAATCAAAGCCCTTCAAAGCTGCGAGGTTTGTATTAATGTCTAGTGGTAGCTAGTGTGTACACTGATACGACTATTAGTTGATTATGAATTGCCTAATCTCAGTCATCTTCGTCTTGATAGGTTGGGATAATATAAAAAAACAAATGTATGTGCGTACGGGGCAACCAGTCTGTGCAAATTGCTGTGTTGGTTAACAATGTGTATTTGAATTTAATTGTAATTTAATTTCTGAATTATTTTCGAAATAAACGTGCAATAGACATTTAACCTCTAACTAATCACATGGTTTGTACTAATGCGCTGGTTCTTTATGTTGACACCTTTACTGATAGTAACTGATCATGGTTTTGCCACCCTCAATCATCCTAATATTGATAAGATGTGAAATTTGTAAGAAACACATCTAGGTGCGTATAAGGCAACCAACGTGTTTATTATAAATTTTTTTTGTTAGTAGTTTCTTGGGGTACTGTGTTTAATTATGTTTTTTTATTTCATTTTTTTTTTTAATTTTCAATGCTTAGTTTTGGATGCCATTTTTTTTTTCTGGTGTTGTAATTGTTTTTAATGTGAAATTAAGGAACATTGTTTTGTTTTCATCCATATGGTTAGGTATGCATGTGTGTTGTGAATGTGCATGTGATTAATGTTCAGGGTGGTTGTGTGTTTCATCCATATTGTTAAGTAAAGTGTTGTTGGTATTTGCTACTGCTGTTTTTGTTGTCGGTTAAGCATTTATGTTGGTGCGCCACTAGTATTGCGTCGGTGCGTGTGTATTTTTATTTTTATTTTTTTTGGATTTTTTGGGATTGCGTAGTTAGGTATGGTGGTTTGTGCATAGTAGTATGTTACCTTGTACATGTTAGTGTGAAATTTAGTTGCTAATTGGCACTATTTTTTTTTTTTTTTTTACATTTAGGTTGGTGCTCTACTGTTGTTGGGTCGGTGCTTGTTTATTTATTAATTTATTATTTCTTAGGAGTTGGGGAGGTACCGTGGCTACGGGTGTTGGTTTGTGCGTATTAGTTTGTTGTCGTGTGTGAGTTAGCGGTACAGTTTTGATGCTAATTGGCATTACCGGTTTTTGGATTGCTTTCTTTATTTTGGTTCCTTAGTTTTATAATGCCTTAATTTTTATTTTATTTTTTAAAGAGAGACATATTGACAGTAGGGGGATGCGGTTTTGGGTTTGAGTATGCTTTTTTTTTTTTTTTTTGGTTTTTTTTTTTTTTTTTTTTTTTTTTTTTGTTACTCTGATTTATTCTTGTCATTCCCAGGTGATGTTCCAATTGAGCCGGTATGTGCTGTTGCGGGTGAGCCGGTAGTTGTTGTAGCGGTTGAGCCGGTAGGTGCTGGCAATGTGGTCGTACCTTTGCCACAGGCTGATGATGCCGAAGTTCCAGATCAGCCCGCACAATCAGCGCTGGATTCGGATGGCTCAGATGTTGAGCCCATTGAGGTTGATGAGGCTTTATTTCCCCCTCTGAAGATTCGCTCTACTCCGAAGCACCTAGTTCTAGTAGGTGATACATACATTTCACATTCTTGTTCAGCAACTTCATCTGTAATGGGTGGTGCACTTGCAATACAACAACATTTTCATAACTTTTTAATTTGTGCACAATATTAACGCCGTTGGTCAATAACAACATTCTTATCTATGCAATCACAAAACTACTACTCGAACATTTGTGAAGTAAACTACAAGAAAGAATATCGCATCTGTAGTCGCACTCTATGCACGCACTTATCGTTGTCTGCGCACTCTCCACCAAACTAACATCATTGCATGTTGTTATAAAAATCCATGTCGTTTCTATACTACAAACATTTGTATCATACGCACATACATCCCATTACGTTAGGTCATCCCTAAAAACTATAACACAGATAACAATAGGCACATAATTTTTTTTTTTTTTTTAAAAAACACAAACAAAACCAATTACCGCACCGTCTATATACTACTATGCACAGACTAATGTAGGTCTATGCACCCTATTAATAACCTACCATCATTACAAGTTGGAATCAAAATTCATGTCGTTCCTCATTTTCTCAAAACAGTCCCGCATGCACACACGTCTCGCTACATTTAGCTCGTTCAACCTAACAAATATAAATTTTAATATAGAAAACGTAGCCCTCGTCATACGCACACGCTATGCACAGACTACTGTTCGTCAATGCACCCGCCTGCTGAACTTCCGTTTCCTCTAGTCCTTATAATAAACGCGGGTGTTTGCACAAGCTACTACGCAACCATACTCATACCTATACGCTGTTAACATCGACACACAAACAAACCTCACTTATATTTCGTCCACCCCACCAACACAAAACTTATAAACAAATTTCCATGACATACGCACATGCATAGACACTACTACGCACCTACCTGTGTTGCTACAAGTCATTCGTGAAGTGTGCTCCTTGTTTCGCCGTCTTCTTCCGCCCGCTCGTCTGCACTCTCTCTCTTTTTCACGCGTTTTTTATTTCAACAGTTGACTGCATAATATCTTTATCAATCAATTACCATTCATAATATCCCTAATTTAATGCTTAAGATTCCATTACTATCATATCCATAATTAAACACATCAATACAATTACAATTTAATCCTTTTGAATTCTATATGTCCTTAAATAATTTCAAAATCTCTTATAATCTTAACCGTTTATGGGAAATTAATCAATGGATATCATGAGAACTCATGGACTCATGTATAATAGGGGGTGCATCGGATTCGAAGCATATATATATATATATATATATATATATATATATATATATATATATATATATATATATATATATATATATATATATATATATATATATATATATATATATATATATATATATATATATATATATATATATATATATATATATATTTGAAAGGAGCCTGTACGGCATTTATTCAAAATATGCAGAAATAGCAGCTGGTGGACTTGAGTCCGAATACATAATAGTCGTCTGAGTAAAGGCAATAGATGCTAAAGTATGCGCTAAATAATTTTCTAATCTTGGAACATAACGAATTAAACAGTACTCAAAAGTCAACATACTATTCCTGCAGCTATCAATGGCATAACCCAAGTATGATCGTGATGATCGAGTCGTAGATGATAGATATTGTTGTAGTACTAAACAATCCGTGAAGAGCTGGATAGAGTTTATTCCGCGATCTCTTAACCATGACAAAACATCTTTGCACGCTAGAGCCTCCGCCATTAGGGGTGTAAAACAATCTGACATAGGGGTGGTCATTGCGGAAATATATCCTCCTTGCGCATCTAGAATAATAGCTCCCGCCGCCGCCCTGTTCGTTCGCGGGTCGTATGCCGCGTCGAAGTAGCACTTGAGGAGATCCGCGTCTGGCGCAATTGATTGTGGCAATTGGTGTTCATCTGGCCGCACTGCAGCGCTGCTCGAAGGCAGCCCGTTCACTGCCGGCATGGCAGTGACAGTTGCGGCAAATGGCGGCAGTATGGCTGGTGGCGCTCCACCCTGCTCCGTTACGGCCACATTGGCCTGCGGCTGTGCATATGTCGGGTGAGCAATCTTCCAAGAGTGTACAGCTGAAGACGCCATCACAATTATTTTCTGAGGCCTGGGCAACTATGCGTCCCAAACAGCCCCATTCCTCGCACGCCAAATGTAGTATAGAATTGCCACTGCATAAATAATCTCATTATCATCTAAAATATTCATCAAATCATTAAACCAATCACTGAAAACATTTGTGACACTATTGGGGATTGGAAGGTGAGATTGTGCCCAAATGTTTGTTGTATAGCCACATGTGATCAAAGAATGCACAATATCCTCATGTGTAGTCCCACACATGGCACATGTTGGATCAATATCCACCCTCTTTATAAGTAGATTGTTTGTGGTGGGCAAAATATTACTCAGAGCTCTCCATATAAATGTCTTCCACTTTGGGGGGATCTTGAGTTTCCATAAAATCTTCCATTTATCAAAAGTTCCTAGTGGTTGGGAGTAATTACCCACTATCTTCCTGTACCCATTCTTGACTGAGTATTCACCATTTGGATCCCCATACCAGTACCACAAATCATCATAATCAGGTGACACATGTATTTTTTTAATCCGTTCCACATCATCCGCTATGAAAATATCCGTGAGAATATCCGGATCCCAGGTTCCTGTTTGTTGATCCATTAGACCCATCACCTTTGCCTGTGCCAATTGGGGTGGTTTTTCTGTTTCTATTCTCGGGTGGTTTTCATCATGTAACCAAGGGTGGTCCCAAATTAAAGTTGTTTTACCATCCCCTATTCTCCTCCTCACACCCCCACAAATTAATTCCTGAGCTGCCAAAATACTCCGCCAACAAAAAGTTGGGTTATTACCCAAGCATGCATCATAGAAAGAATTAGTGGGATAATACCTGGCCTTATAAACTCTCGAAACTAACGATTGCGGCTGTGTCAGAAAACGCCACCCTTGCTTTCCCAACATAGCAAGATTAAAGGCATGTAAGTCTTTAAATCCCAAACCTCCATACTGCTTTGGAATACATAGTTTATCCCATGCCTTCCAATGTATACCTTGTTCATTCTTGGAACTCCACCAATATCGATTCATGGTTCGCTCAATAGCAGTGCATAAAGTCATTGGCAGTAAAAAAACACTCATTGAAAAGGTAGGCATAGATTGGGATACACTTTTCAATAAAACTTCCTTTCCTGCTTGTGACAACAATTTTTTATTCCATGAGCTTATCCTCTGTCTTATCTTATCCTCAATATAAGAAAATGATGCCCTCCTATTTCTGCCCACAAACGATGGAAGCCCTAAATACTTCCCAAAATTCTGAGCCTGCACCACCCCCAATATATTGACAACCTCGTCCCTTATCTCTCCACGTGTATTTTTACTGTAACAAATATTTGACTTATGATAATTTACTGCCTGACCAGACATCTTCTCATACTCCGATAAACATCGTTTAATTACTTCTGCCTCCTGCACATTTGCCTTGAAAAAAAGTAAACTATCATCGGCAAAGAATAAGTGGGTAATGGAAGGTGCTCCTCTTGCAACCCTACAACCATGTATTCTCCTTTTGCCTGTGCCTGTTGCAATAATAGTGAAAGCCCTTCAGCACATATAATGAACAAATATGGCTAAAGGGGATCACCTTGTCTTAAACCACGAGTCGGGATTATCCGCTCACTCCGTGTCCCATTTACCAGCACACTATAAGATACAGTGGTTACACACATCACCAGTAATTCCACCCATCTTCCATCAAACCCTAGGGCCATTAACATCTTTTGTAAAAAGGACCATTCCATACGGTCGTAGGCTTTGGCCATATCCAGCTTTAAAGCCCCCCAACCCATGAGTCCACATTGTTTCTTGTTCAAATAATGGCCTACCTCTGCAGCTATCAATATATTATCTGTAATCAATCTCCCAGCTATGAATGCACTTTGTGACTCAGATATGATACTCTCCATCAAAGGCTTCATTCTAGCTGTAATAACTTTGGCCATAATTCTGTACACCACATTACTCAAAGCAATTGGCCTATAATCAGAAATCATCTCTGGGGTTTTCTTCTTTGGGATCAGTATAATATTTGTCTCATTCAATTTATCAGGGAACGAGTTAGTATTGAGACAATTGACAATATAAGCGAAAACATCAGTACCCACCACATCCCAGAAGTGCTGATAAAATCCAGGGTTCATCCCATCATGCCCTGGTGCCTTATCAGGATACATTGAAAACAATGCAGATTTAACCTCACTTTCTTCAAAATGGCTCAACAGGCCTTCATTCTGCGTGGCTGTCACTCGTGGTTGTATGCTCTCAAAGAAATTGTCATTAATAATAGGAGAACTCGAGTCAAAGATATCACGATAATAATGCAAGATACTATTCCTCATGGCATCTCCCTCAATCCAATCCCCATTACTATTCATAAGTTTCGTAATAGAATTCTTTTTCTTTAAGTGAGAAGCGCACCTGTGATAAAACCTGGTGTTCGCATCCGCGTCCTTGAGCCAATGTTGTTTGGCTTTCTGCCTCCAGTATGTATCCTCATGCAACTCAATACTAGTCAGACAGTCCTCTATCTTTTGAAACTCAGCTAGAGACCCAGGGTCCGTACGCCCTCTAAGCCGCATCTGGTCCTTCTTTAGGTTCAGTATTCTCTCCCCGAATTTGTGAAAACGGTCTCCACCCCAGCGTGTTAACAGCTCACCACAAAACGTGACACATTCCTGCAGCCCCCTACTCCTTCCTTCCTCCCAGGCTTTTTTCTACCACACCCCTACATCCCTCATCATGAAACCATGCCATCTCAAATCTAAAACCCCTTCTTAGACCACCTCTCCTTTCCCGAAGATTGAGAATCCCAAGGAAAAGAGCAGAATGATCTGATTTCTGGGTCAATATATTATGCACACTAGCATCAGGTACCAGCTCCCTCCACCCCTGTGTGGCCAAAACCTTATCCAATCGTTCCTCTATCCAGTTTGGCGTTCCCTTCCCTTTTTGCCAAGTAAAAGGATATCCTGTCATCGTTAACTGCGCCAATCCACACTCCTCAATAGTCTCCCCAAAACCCCGTAGTAAAGTGTCAGGATGCGGATTTCCACCTCATTTTTC